TTGACAGAATACAAAAAGGTAACTAAAGAAATGGAAAGAGTCAGAGAAACTTGGAGGCTAAATTCTGCAAAGATCAGTTAAAGGAATGAGCTATGTTTAGCCTTAAGAGGACACATGATAGATGTCTTCCAATAATACTTGAAGGACATTACAGACAGAGAGTATGAGTTCATTCTCAATAGCACCCAAGCATAAAGCAAGAGCCAGTGGATGAAAGCTTTATAGAGAAAGATTCAAACTTGTAAATAAGCAAGACTTTTCTTACTTTAAGAAGTATTAAGCAGTGGAACAGCCTCCTTCCTGAAGTTGTAGATGTACCATCACTGGAGATTTTCAGGAAAAGATTGGACAGTAATATCTGGGATAGTATGAGAATTCCTGCATGGGGGGGGAGTTGGACTAGAAGACCTCTAAAGTCCTTCTAACCCTATGATTCTATCATGCCATATCAAAGAAGGGAGATTAAAAATTGCCAGTTTACTAAATAATTGGCCTAATTCCCCATACAGGGAAAGTTTTGCTTATGGATCTTACAAATATAAGGCAATGAGAAAAAAAAGAACCAGATTAACAGAAAGATTTCAGAAAAGACAAAAGAACATGAAATCAAATAATTAGCATAAGAGGAGTAATGAACAGAGCAAGAGAATATAAGAAGGAGGTTGCTTTATGGACAGCAGCAGCAATATCTTGATGGTGTAGATCATGCCAGTATATAAAATATATTAAGACTAAGTAGTGTGTCAGAATGCTTAATTATTTCCCTGTGGAACCTTTGCAGTGAAGAATTGAAAAGCATGGTTATTCAGGATAAGAAAGGCAATAAAACAAAGATAGAAAAAGAAAAAACATCTGAGTTAACAATAAATATTAGGTACACAGGGAAAAATGGTAATTAGTATGTTGTGACCTTACAGTTGACAACAAAGTAGTGAAAATAGTGCATAGTATTATTTTCTTGGGAATAAGAACAGATAAAGATATAATCTGTGCTGAAGAATTAAGAAGGAGATTAATCCTAAGGAGGAAGAAAATGAAAATCATAGATAAGATTATGAAGTGTAAGGATATTTCTATGGCAACAAAAATCAGAATAGTTAACACAGTAGCTTTCCCAGTGGTAATGTAAATTTTTGAAAGCTGGACACAGAGAGTTAGAAAATAAAACTCCTTTGAACTTTGAATCTGGAGATGGTTATTAGAAATAACATGAACTACAAGATCCAATCAATCAGTCCTGGGCAACAACAACAGAGAAAGGACTGACTGCTCCTTTGAGATGATGATCAGAAAGCAGAAAGTCCTGTTCTTCAGGCATGTGATTATATTTTTTCACATTCTGTATATGTGTGTGTAATAATTGACTGTTTGACAAGTTTAAGGAAAGCAGAAGAGAAAAAAAATAAAGTGGATTGATGGTATCAAAAATATTATAAGACTGCCCCTTTAGCAAAGTACAGATTGAGGGTGAAGGTTCGTTCTCCAAGCTTGTGGGTTGGTTTCTCAAAACTCTGCTGAAGAGGTTACCTAGTCTGGTAACAAAACGTTCAGAAACCAACCCACAAGCTCAGAGAACGAACCTTCACCCTCTTCCTACATCCAAACTAGGGATATTCACCACTATTACAGAACTATAGATTACTAAAAAGATAAGTTAGTAAGATCCATGTATTCACCAGGATTTGGTTTGACATCATCTAACTCTGCAGAAATTTGTACCAAAAAACATCCCAAAACTGATGAGAGAGTGAATAGTACTGGCATCTTTAAAAAGTAATACATTATTTCTGTCCTGGAGTGTTGAATTATGATAATTTTTAAGATTGCTAATATTATAATATTGCTTCACTAGTTCCCAGAATTCACAGAAGAGAATTTTGTGAGCTAGAATATCAGTCAAGTACAGTTTTCAATTTATATTAAAAGTAGTTTTCTGTTGAGGATGCAACAGAACTTAAAGAACATGCTAATAAAAGAACTAAAAGGTCATTGGCTTCTGTTCAGAATTTAGAAGATACATATAGATTGAGATTATAATTGATTTGAACTCTCAAGTGCCGGCCAAGATTAACAATATTAAAGATGCTGTTCCTGTCAAGGCTTTGAAAGTTAAAATACACAATAAAAAGTTCTACAGGTTTCTGAGCCAGATAACATAGTACTTTAAAATCAATTTTACACATAGAGAAGCAGTAATTTTCTTGGAGCTTTTTGAATAAATATCCTGAGTCCTTGCCTGATCTGTAGAAATCAAACATATATTTTGAAAGTTTCAGCTAAATGGAATGTCATAGCCTGTTAAATGAAAATGAAACAGAAAACTTGGATGCACACAGATACCTGTCACAGAGATAGAAAGATGATATTAAGGTTTAGTGTGAAAACACACATTGTGTTTCTAGATTGTTCAAAAACAAGAAGAAAGTATTTTTATAGTCTTTTGGTGGACATTGGTCCCTCTTTTATTGAGTATTATACTTTTTTCTGAGTGGAGACACAATCTATTAATTATGGCATAGTTTATGAAATATAAAGTAGAGACAATATTTTTCTCAAGCATCAGCTAAGAGGAACTAACTTTTCATTCAATTTCCAATTTGATGTTAATTTGGAGATGGTATAGAACATTTTATGAGCTTAACTTCATTACTCTTGATCTGTTTTCTTTTTAGTGTAACCATAAATTATTACTAAATATTGGTGCTCCTTTAACTAACTGTGAAAACAACATCTAGAATATGGAAGCCAAAACTGGGAAGCATATTAGTCTTATTGCAGGGGATAATGTCACAACTAATAGCAATTTAAGTTTATTCTTTGTGAATATGTCTTTGTAAAGCTGTATAAGTTGACAAGAAGCATTCCAAATATAGTGGCACTGTAAATTTGTTCAAATAATTGTTATTTTGGCAACTTTTAGTACCTTTCCTAATTATCTTCACCATGGAATTATCTTTTTCATAGGAACTACCTACATTATGGGCCAACATATTATCAAACCATGAATCATGATTTCAACAACTCAGGATGACTCAGCAATGAGGAAAAAGATTCTTATTTTCCCCCCTCAGTCAGTTAGACCAGATGAGGAATAATATCAGAGGTGAAAAAAGTCATGATGAGGAGTGACTAAAAATTATTAATAAATTGTAATAATATTGCAAGTGGTATTAACTAAGTGCAGATTTATTACAGTTTATTTGTGTAGGACAGTGAAACAAAATAAATTTAGACACCTTCCAGCATGCATTTCCTGTGGTCTCAGGTCTAATGCACTTTATGCTTATGTGCATGGTAAGTAATATGATATGACAGACCATATCATAGAAGTGAGTCTGATTAATGAGAAACTCAGAAAAGGAGGCCAATAAGCAAAGAAGGGTCACCATCCAATTTAGGGAAAGGGGAAATAGAAGTATCAAAGCATTAGTTTGAGGAGTTATGCAGAAAGGCCATTAATCAGCCTTGCCTTTATAAGAGGCCAAAAATGTTTCTGCTGACTTTATTCCTTTGCAAGCTCACCCCATGCATAATCCAAAGTAAACAACTGAAACTGTCTCTTCAAGGGCCTAAATGTTATATAAGAAAATTAAGGGCCTTCCTTAAGTGGAAAATTTAAAAAAAAAAACTAACACTGAAATAAAAACATATGTGAAGATGTGTAATGTTTATTTGTTTGTTTTTGAAATCCTTCCTGGAATAAAACAAATGCTTTTAAATCCTTCTTAGCAAAATAAGTACAATTTCCTTCCTGATGTGCAAGAAGATGAGTTCTTTAGTTTGTCTGATTTGGTAGACCCTATGTCCTGTTCTTCTCCAAGAGCTGATGGTATGTTAGTTTCTGCTGCCAGAAGGAAAAGGAAAAAAGAATGGATGGATGTCTCACTTGTGATGCCTTCAATTTGCATTTTTAGTTGGTGTATGTATTTTAATGTCACTGGGAGTCCTGAACTATTGGTTTTTCTTCTGACAGTATTGTGCATTATTAATGCAGTATGTGATTAGCATTGCCATGTTAAAGACAGATAAAAACCAATTAATGATATTCATAGAAAATACATCTATCTATAGCCACTATACAGTAGTTCTACTATACAAATAACAGCATCCCGAAATACCAGAAATTTGATATCGTTAAGCCAAATGGCATTCTCCTAATGGGAGTCTTCTGTGATAATATTAGTTCTTAACAGGAATTAAAAATATCTAGAAACAATATTGAAAGAATATTCAAATATGTTTAAAAATGGATACAAAGTTTTTTATAGTCAAATATAACATTTCTTTGAATGGATAAAATACAGAATAAATAACTGACTTCATAGCAGGAACAACAATAGATCTAGAGAGCTGATCCAGTTTACACACATATAAAATAATGTTTAGTTGACAAGTTCTGTTACTTCTTCATACACTTATATGATTCTTCTTTGCATTATTTATTTTTTTAAAAATAAATTTAAACTATTTTTTAAAATTTAAACTATTAATGATTGATTATAGTGAAAATGTCTTGACTTATTATTTTGTTTAGTTAAGAGGGGACAATAAGAAGAATTCTAACTGACAATGTATAAAATTATACTTGTATTAGGATAATTGTACAAAAGAAATACAAGAAATAATTATATTTCTTTTTTGTGTTTGCAATTATTATTCAAAAACATTATTAAGATAATGTCCAGGTTTGAATTTGCTATTTTTCCATTATGATACCTTAATTCAGTGTTCTGTCAAAGCTAAATAAACCATAATAAAATATTGTTAAAAAAAAGCTAAATAAACCATTAGTGCATTATTGATCAGTTCATGTTGAATCTCCTCTATTACGTAGTGTGGAGGAGTGATTTTGGAAGATATTGGTTTTTTGACAGTTTGCTATCAAAATTATTTGAAATCATTTGCTATCTGTTCGTTTTTTCTCCAGATAAGTTATAAACAATTCCCTCATACTTCACCTTGTTTCTTTTCAGTGCAGGCACAATTTTTCCCCTTTCCCTGCCTCAATGAATGTCTGCACTAAGTCCAAAGCTCGGAGTGATTTACCTGAAGAGTGATATTCAGAAACCACTGTAAGTTAATTTTGTAAATTCAGCATAATATTACTGCTTAAGGACAAAAATACTCAGAACCTTGTAAGAAATTAGAAGCCAGCATATACATGATATATCAAAAGTTGGGTCATTTGAGCCAATCACAATATGTTTTATTAATTTTGCGTTTCATAGAAAATATTACTGATACTTAGTGGTGATCAAGGGCCGTGTCTGAAATGAATAAGAAAGTTTTAGAAGAAAATGACAACCAATCGAACATTTAAAATAAATAAATAAAAATTTGTCTGTGGCACCTGATTTTTGCTACATCTTGTATTTTTACAGCATTACCAAAGGATATAGAAACAAAGTTGCAATAGTGTTTCGGTTGCATTTTATGAGATTTCTGCTGTTCAATGAAGTTGGGTTTTGGCATTTCAGGTCAGCTGGAAAGCCAATATCAAATCATTTACAAGGCAAACTTAATGTTCAGTTAATGTAAAATCATCAATTTAATAAGTATTTGTATGATTAGAAACAACAAACGATCATTCATGTAACATTTTCTAATTCTCAGAAAATAAAAATTGGGTTGTCTGATGATGTGTAAGGACTCTATTGTCATTGGAGTCAATAAGGCAACATATATAATCCAAATCTGTAAAAGAAAACATACAAATCTTGATGTGTTATGATCCCAAAACATCATGAATGGAACCCATGTCTCATGTGTATGTGAATGCACATATTTAGCATCTCAATATCTAGGCAGACAATAATTGATAAAATAATTTAACTTGAAAATAACTCTAAATTTTAGAGTTCCAGATCAACAATGGCAAGTAATTTTATGCACTGAATTATTTATTCGACAATTATCTAAGATAATTGTAAATTTGACTGACAAAATGGGGGGGGGGGGTAAAATATTTTCTCCAGCATTCCTTGTTTACCAACCCAGATTAAAAAGAAGCAGTTAGTGTACTGTATAATTGGTAGAATATAAGCAATGGTATTTGGGTTGATTAATTGATTAAAGTTGTGCCATCATCAATGTTGACTTTTAATAAACATATATAGATAGATTTATGTATGTTATATATCTGAATGAAGGTAGTCTGATCTTTTAAAGGAGAACTGATGAATATGCATGAAAATGAAAATATAGGTGTAATTATGAATATACAAGGTAAAATATGTGGCAGGGGTGGGAGAGAAGCCATCTTGCTCAATGCAAAGATCCTCCAGCAGCTGCGCTTGCAACTGGCTTGTAACATCTCAATTCCATGTCCTTCCTTCTCTTTCTCCTCCTGCTTCTTCTGCTTCCTCCTCCTGGTCCTGCTTCCTTTTCCTTCTGCTACTTCTTCTTCTTTCTCCTCTTCTTCCTCAGTTCCTCTTCTTCCTCACTTTCCTCCTCTCCCCCTCCTGGCACCCCAGCTCACGCTTCTTTCATGCAATTTTCCAAGTTTGCAAGACAAGCGCCCTCCAGCCCAGCTTGCAACCGGGGGCTTCCCCAAAGCCTCGTTGGAGGGTGATCCCCCCAAGGTTTGTGTGTGTGAGGATGTCTTTTTCTCAGGGTGCAAATAGGAGCAGGGAGAAGCTACCTTTCTCCTTGAGCACTGCATCTCCAAGGGAATCTCTCTCTCTCGTCTGCACCTTTTCTAAGGCCACTGGGCTCCATTGCACTTCAACTGGAGTTTTTTTGCTTTTGTTTTGATGCTCCAGGTGCCTAGTGTTTTGACAACATCCTGCCTGCTTTTCGAGGTTTAATTTAGTATGTGTATTTGTGTGTGTGTTTGTGTTCCTCCAAGTTTGCAAGCCAAGCGCACTCCTACCCGGAGGTAGGGAGGAGGAGAGAAGCTACATTTCCCCTTAAGCACTGGGTCTCCAAGGGGATCCTTCTCTCACTTGCACCTTTTCCAAGACTGCTGGGCTGATCTCCGCATTGGTTTGGTCTCCCTCTCCCCCCCCTCATGGTTTTCTCAGCACATCCTCAACGTGTTGGTTCTTTGGTTTGGTTTGTTGGAAGGCTGAGTTTAGGATTGTCTCTTTTCCTTCCCACTTTCTTAGAAGAAGAAAGTCACTGGTCTAATCTAATACAATGTAATAATAATAAAAATAAAGTGCATTATTTATTTGCTTATTTAGAAAATTTACAATAAATGTAGTGCATTCGAATCATCCTGAAACACCCCTCTCCCCACTCTGCTCCATGGAAAAATTGTCTTCCATGAAACTGGTCCCCGATGCCAAAATGTTTGGGGACCTCTGGGTTAGACACTACTTGATTCTAGGTCCATAAGAATAAAGTCTAGAAATGTAAGGATATTTTTTTAAAAAAATTCCTCTCCAGGATTGTTGCTAGGAGCACATTAAAGCAAATTAAGGATATGGCTCTTCAGAATTTGGGGGCTGTAATTTGATATAAATATTGCAATGGTTATAAAAATAAAGATCATTCACTGTCATCATTATCTCTAGGCAGGGATAACACTATGTTATTAGCTAAGAACCCAAAATATTTGCAGTAGATCTTAAGACTGTGTGATACAATAAGGAGTATGGTGAATCTGAAAATTAATATTTGAAAGATGTAATATATAATCCAAAGTAGAGTCTGTCAATGTCTCTGTGTGGATGAAGGGAACAAGTCACTGTCATTATTTTTCTGATCTTCCTATCCAGGGTTTTAGTTCTGTTTGAGTCCAGTCTACTATTTTATCTATGTGTCATTCAGCTTTAGATCATCCATGTAAAGAAAGTGGGATAGCCTGGCAGATTTTTTTGGATGTTTGATTGCCATGGCTAGCAGAATTTCCACAGTCTGTTGTGTTTTCATTGCCCACATACTGGTAAAAGTTTTAAAAGAAAACATTCTAGAAATAATGGTGTTCCTGAAATAAAAAATTACCAAAAATATTTTTAACTATTTTATTTATTATCTAATTTATATAGCCACCCATCTCACAAGCAAGTGAATCTGGGTAGCATACAACAAAACTAAAACAATACATAGCTAAAATGATTACCAATAACAAGTAACTCCCTTTTTACAACCCTATAATCCCTTAATTTGGGGTAGAGACAGACATTAAAATTATAAAAACAGCTAAAAAAATAATAGTTGAAGGTAATAATGGAGCCACCTCAACAGTTCAACAGTTCCCTGGGTTCTCCAGGCCCGCTGGCATAATGTTTGACAGCTTAGAAGTGATGAGTCCATGCTCAGCTCATGGGGAAGAAGATTCCATGGTACAGAGGCCACAGCAGAAAAGGTCAACCACCTTAGATCCTGCCAAACGTAGCTCTCTAGATTATCGGACCCCAGATTTTATTCTAATACTTAATCCATAAAAATATATGCTATTTTACAAGTGGCAGGGTGAGGAAAGACTAAAAAATAGAATGCATCCATTTTTTAGAATGAAAAATTGTGACTTTCATGGATTTTGCTACAACAGCAACTCAAAACTGAAAAGAAAATGTTGCTTTAACCACAACTGTATCCTTTTAGTCAAATTATAATTAATAAATATAAGAACATTGATTTTTGCAAATATTTTTGGAACATACTTATTCATGTGTAAGCTGCAGAAAGTAGTTTGGAAGCTAACACTTACATAACCTTGTTATAAAGTTCAGGCATTAACTATTTATTTGTAACTAGCTATTTATATTTATATGCCTATCCAACCTAACCAAAGTGACTGAGTTATTAACAAACAGCAACAAACTTAAAGAAAACAATATAAAACTGCAGTAAATAATAATTTCATTGTCATGCAGCATGCTCTTTCAATAGGATTAAATTAACTTGATCCTTAAAAAGGATTGTGCAAAAACATCTAGGAAAAAAATCTTCTTTACTAAGAACTTAAGCACAAGAAAGATAAGAAGAAATAATTTTATAGTGTTGGAGAATAGGCCTGGGGAAAGAGACGGATCATGAAGGGCCTTTGATTATGGTGAGTTTTTAACTATGATGGCTATAAATTTTGGCAGACCCTTGGGCATGAATACCTTGCTGCCCTCAGGTCTGTTTTTCTTCCTCCTTTGCATGTCATCACCTTGCTTGCTTACTAGCAAGACTGCTTTTGAAGTTGCTCACCAAGGTAAATTTCACCCTCTCCTGTGACAACTAATTTCAGAGGGGAGAGTAGTTATTCTGTTGCAAAAAATAATTTATAATTTGGTAATATTTCATTGTCTGGTAGGAGACACGGTGGCCTGGCAGTTAAGATGCTGGGCATTTTGACCAAAAGGTTAGCAGTTCAAGACCTGAACTCACCTGCAACAGGGAGAACCCCCGTTCTTGCCCCAGCTCCTGCCAACCTAGCAATTCAAAAGTACGCAAATGCAAGTAGAAAAATAGGCACAACTTCAGTGGGAAGGTAACAGCATTCCTCAGCTTATAGTCATGCCAGCCACATGACCATGGAAGCATCTTTGGATAGCACTGGCTTCCTCAACTAGGAAATGGAGATAAGCACCAACCCCTCGAGTCAGACACAACTGGACAAGGAAAAACGTAACCTTTACCTTAATTATATGGTAAAATTTTGTGAACAATATTGCAGTTTTATAGATCTTCTTAACTAGGTTATATTCCATAATCGAGATTGTTATGAGAATACACTTCATAATCTGTAAGATGTCAGTGACAAAAAAGGTGGGAAATAGATTTACTTTGTTTGGGTCCATTTATATCTATAACCATTAACATTTTCTTAACATTTTAAGAAAAAAATGTTAGTTTCAAAAAAGATTCAAAGTGATGACGTTAGAATTCAAAGATAATTTGACTACGATAGGATTCAATATTGCCTAGTGATCCTGTAACCATGGGTTTGTTAGTAGTTTTTAAGTATGGTCAATCAACATATTTATTTACCTTGTAGATTCTTGTATACCATGATTTTTAAGGAAAGAAAGAGGAAAAGATATTCATATCTGCCAATTTGTCTCAGTTCAGTTTCCATTTTCTAACTGAGCAAAAATTTCATTGAATTGTGTAATTTTAATACTTAATGAGAAAGATTCTTTAAAGGGGTTGCTTGGAGCAAAAATCTGAAGTTCTGAAATTAACTAGTCTGAAACCAGCTGGTCGCCTGCTGCCCTCTAGAGGCTATTTCTTATAAGTGTCAGCCATCATGGTTTCACAAGAACTTTCATGTGCTGTGTTCTTTCTTACCATACCAAGCTTATATAATTCTTTTATATAACCAGAGACAATGTTCTTGATTAATAGCAAAGTGGCTTGCCCTTTGTTATACTATAATGTGTTTTTCTGCCTATTTCTTCATTTCTGATTCCATGAGGGTACAGAATTACTTTGTAAATCTTTTTTTTTTCCTGCGAAAAATCTTTGGGGGAGGCGGAAGAAAGGTAGGAAATAAAAAATAGATTTGTTATTTTATTGAATATGTTCTTAGTTATAATAAAGAAAATCCAGATTTTGTTTGGACAATTCCATCTTATTTTAATGTTAAATACAATACTTAATATAATGTGTACTTACGTTTATGTGTACAATTCAAAGGTATGCTAAATAGTTCTATTTTCTCAAAACTATTTTTTTACTTCTCTGTACACAAGAGATCTATTTTAACTTTTGTCCACTTTTTCAGATTCTTGTCCACTATTATATTAGTGTTTATCTGTACAGAGTTAATAAACTGAACATAGATATTGAGGTCATTAGCTTCACTGTTCATTCTAAACAGTATTATTTTTGTAAAGCATGCAAAACATCCTAAGCTTGAAATACCAGCTTGGAATATTTAGAGCTTAAATAAGACATGACTTTCCAGAAAGTTTGCCCTGATTTCTGGAAAATTGTAACAACGTGATTTTAATATTGGCTTTGAAATGGCTTAGGTCCCATTTGGAATGTTATTGTTTTAAGAGTCTTGTACATTAATTCACTTTTCTTTTCCAGCATAGACAATAAATTAGCTTAGGATAAAAATAGGTTACAGAAGAAGAGAGTTGAGATGAGGAAAACAGTGATCTCTGCCATGAGAAAACCCAAAAACCCAATGAACTGAATTGGTCAAAATGTTTAATTCCACTATAAGAATCAAATTAGCCATTATACATGCCTCTCTAATGCCCAGTGGCTCTAGGGGCAAACAAACCACCTTTCCCCAATCAGCTTGCTTGCAGACATAGCTCCTGTAAGCATTAACAACCAGCATTGAAAACAGATTAGAAAAACTTCAAACAATAAAACATGCTCTGAAAGGAAAACAAACAATAATGCACAATTATTCTCTTTCCTGCATAGTGTAGGTAACTGCTACCTTCAGAAGTCTCTTTGTTTCCTTTTAGAAAGAAACCCAAGACAACTGAAAAACAGAAGTCTGAGGAGAATGAGATTACGCAGACGGGTGCCTTCGTTGCCAAGTCAGGCCTTCCATGCCTGAACTTTGAAGCTATCTCCTCTCTGGGCCCAGATCTCATCCATTCATCCCATTCACTAAGAAACCTGCTCATATACACAGGGTCACCTGATTGTAAGTACAATAGTGTCATTGTGGATGACTGAGTGTAACTATTGAGACATGGTCTGAGTTGCAGTGTCAACCCACCCTCTCAAAACATTGAAACATGTACCTAATTAGTAGATGAAGTAAAGTCATAAGAAGTAAATTTCTACACTTTGGAGCAGATCTAAAAGGGAAAAGTAGCAGTAGCAGAATTACTAACATATGGAACTGCATTTTCAAAAATTAATGGAAGAAACTGAGGAAGGCCCTATATAACTATAGTAATTCATTCTGCTAGATGAATTGTACGTATGTGAAATCTCACTTTCACTATTGGAGGTGTTCTGTCATCTCTAAAATGGTTTAAAAATGAACATTTGTAAAAAATAAAGAAAGATTAAGGCCAGCTTCCACAATCTTGGGTATTGTTTAAAACTAATCATAAGAAAATTAGGAATGCAATTGTTTAAAACTTAATTATAGAATGACAAATTCTATGAGGACTGGTAGTATATGAAAATTCAAGAGATAAACATATTTGTTTAAATAGTTCAGGGCCGGATGCGTCATGTGGAAGCTGCGCCCCACCCCATTGCCGGCAATGCCTGAAATAGATGTTTAAAAAATCCTTGATTTCTATTAGAAAATCTTCTGAGATTGACATTTTGCTGTTTATGACTCAGAGGAGAGGACCTCTTTTTCTTTCCTAAAACTTTATACCACTCTGTTATATGGTGCAGTACTAAAGGGCTTATGTTAAGCTTTTTGCTAAGCATTTTGTTGTTATCCAGAAAAAGAAAAAAAAGTTGAAGTTTAATTTAATTTCATAGCATATGTGTTCTTATTTCTACACTATGTTCTCTAAAATATCTTGAACTGTTAAGATCTCAGCAAGCTATTTCCTTTTTTGATTTTTTCCCAATTAATGGTAAGTAATCCTTAGCAACATCTCATTAGCCTATTTTCTTTGTGTCCTAATCCATCTTCAGTTGGAGTGGAGGTAAAGGAACATTATTCCAAAGTAAGGGGGAAAAGCAGAGAGGACGATTGCTGGGCTCCTGTTCTTCTATCTCTTTGAAGGGAGCCCGATTGGTATATAGGCAGATTAAATCTGAACAGATCTCAGAGATATCCATAACCATATAATATACTTGTAAAATATACACCTCAAATTGCATTTGATGCAAATTGCTAGCCACTGAATCTCTATTAACAGAGACATTATATACGGTAGCTAGTGTAGGTGTCACTATCAGTAAGTAGTTGTCTGTCCTTTACATTGTCTGAAATTTCCAAAATGGTTTTCAAGGACAGCCCACACCAGGTGATTTACAGTAGTCCAGACACAAGATAATAAGGATATGAGTGACACATTTATTTAAGTGATAACTTCAGCATCAAGTCCAGTTCTACAAATCTTGGCAGTTTTATTTGTATTGATGGCTAGCATGGAATCTACCCTTTTTACAACTACCATATATTGGGTAACCATATTATTGATACCTCATCACAACTCTAATATCTCTTTATTGGCTAATTACTTCAGACATTCTGATCTTATCACTGTATAAATAAAGTCAGGACTTTTTTTGCTATAGTTAAAATTAACTTGATAATACTATAATGCTATCTGTAAATGTAGTTATCCAATTAATCATTTTCACTCAGATAATTTATGAAGGGATTTTTTTAAAATTAAAGCTGATTCACTCATTATTTTGGGGATTCCAGTTTTATGCTCTTCCATCATGAGAACTGCTTTTTGTACAGTATTGCTATTTTCTGCTATATGTGCTTTAGTCTTTCAGTTCCTAAGTTTGCTAAATTCTAAAGCATTTGAGCAAGAATTATGTCAAAACATTTTGAAAATCAGTATGTTCCAGATCCATCCATAATTTGTTGATATTTTCAAATAATTCAATTAATGAAACAAAAATTACCTTTACATATAGATCCCTGCATTGGGAAAGATTTTAACTAGATGATTCCCCAGATTCTTTCAACCTTTATATTGGAAATTCATCTCTGAGCATTCTGAACTGACCTTTGAGTCAAATGCAGGCCTTGAGGTTTGCCAATCCAGATTTTTGAATCCTGATCCATACCTGCTCATTGACCTTATTTCAATCTTCCAGTTTTAGTTTGTAGAGACTGTCCTTGTGCTGCATCAGTGTTGAGGAAACGTATGTGACATGGGAATTCAGAATACCAGTATATAGTAAAAAGAAACCTTATTTTCATACTGGATGAAAGTATCATACCTACACATTAATCCATGTTTGTTCTTTTTACATCCAGTCCTCATTTTCTGTACTGACAGATTTTAAGGAAATGTAGACTTCAACAGAAAAAAGTTCATTAGTCTGATTCAGTATATATTTATGTATGTAACCTTTGATAATGCTTTCCACCAATTTATGCATATGTTTATTTCAGTTCAAATAAAGGCTTATGTGGCTCTAGAATTTGTAGATCCGTGGTGGTCTTTTTCAGACTCTAGCGATCACAAAATCTCAGTGTCTGTGTATGCATAACAGATATGATTTATTATTTTATGTTTTAAATTATTGTAGTCATATTAATGGGTTTTTTATTGTGAACTGGCTTGTAACTTCATGATGAGCATCTATGTCTTTGTAGTCATGAGACTTGGTCTACTTGGAAGGTTCTCTTTTCCAATCTAACAAAATCTGTCAAGTTATCTGCAGGAGGACAAGAAAGCATTAAAATGAATTAGATAGCTTGACTCAGCCATTTTTCTGCTACTGTTTAAGTATAACTAGACATTAAAAGTTACAGGGACAGCTGAAAAAATATATAGGGGAATAAAATCTGGAACTGAAGACAAAGTTAAATTTTTGTTTCAGTTGTAAAGTTTTTCTACAATCCATGGTGATTTCAATCTATAGATTGCTTTTGGGAATTAAATCTTACATAAGTAGAACAAATATTTATTTTTACATTCAGTTTTATTCAGAATAAATGGATTGTATCTAATTGTATTTTAGATGCTAACTCTACAGATCCAATAGTAGAACAGATTCTTTTCCTTTTTTCATCAAATACGTTTTAGATTTAGGATACATGTAGGGGAAAAGACTGGGAGAAAATCCTGTTTCTACAAACTCAAATTTAATTGTATAACATTAAATTTAGCCATATATTCAGAGGAAAATCTGGACTATACATTTAGTTCTACCTCCTGACTACATGTATTCATGGGCCTTGACAGTATCCTCTATATGTGTAGTTGATTTCAAGACTAAGAGTCTACATATGTATATTTTAAAACCATACAATTGGTACAACCAGGATTTCCATCTACATAAAAAACATTTTAACAACTTTGATTATATACATTAGAAGTCCATTTTCATCTTCAGATTTCCTAGGAGCCCAGAAAAAAGAGATCACCCCACAACTGGTAAATCAAAATTGCCACTTTTCTGAAATCATAGGTAAAATATAAGCATAATCATTTTTGTTTAATAAAAATGATGCCCTCATGTGGCAATTTTTATGTTTATACAGAAGCCCTTTATATAAATAAAACTATTTAAATTTTCTCTTTATTTAAAATATTTTAATAAATATACATTGAAATGGGTGCACAGATTATTTTTAAAATTTCAAAATAAGAAAATGCTCACAATATTTTTTTTGTTTTGGAAAATCATAATATTTTATATATAAACACAGATACAACAATAACTACAACCTTGAGTAGTTCTGATTAAAATACCTTTGAAAATAACCTTTTATCATTTATATATGTTCAATAGTCCTTATTTTTCTGCATTCTGTACAGTTATTTCACAAGAATATTTTGGAAAAGGAAGGATTCTTGATTACATTTTATGGAAAGTTTGAATCAGTTGATATACATAAGATTATAATTTCTTGTACATTCCAACTTAAAAATATTTTTTCAGTAATAAACAGTTTAAAATTTTCAAAATATAAAATGACTAGACCAGTTAATAATAACTTCATTTTTTCTTTGCATAATTCCAGTTGCATAGCAGCAAGGAAATGGTAAAATCTCATTGTTCCTGTCTTTTTATTGTGTTCTAAAATGGTTTACCCTGTAACATTGCATATGTTTGGCTTCCGTGCATTCATGTGTCTGTACTTAAATAGACTGCTATAATCATGTAGGCTAGTATGTGGGAAGGTTGCTGTAGAAATCCTGCAAACAGCCAATTGTCTGTTATGGAAAAAATACAGATTTCCTGCTGACAGAGAAATGTCTTTTTACCATTTATAAAAGGTTAAAAAGAAGAATGTAATATTGAAAGTGAATAATTCTATCTTCACATCAAAAACAAAAAATGTACACAACTGAATGTGTTTGTGACACACACACAAACAGTTGTTTCTATCTACCTACCTACCTACCTACCTATCTTCAAAGACTACATTTCTCTACATATTTATTATGCGATAATTTCCAGTAAACTAAAAGGGCCTGACATTTATTTATTTGATTTCTACACTGCTGTAATTATAAGACCCTCAGCAAAACATTGAAAAAAATCCCATAAAATATCCCTGGCACAACAATAAAGCATCCACAGTAAAAGCAATTTAGAAGTCAGACAAATCAAACATTCAATTATAAATTGAAGCAATATATGAAAACATTGTATGATGCATCTTTTCATATTTAAAGTTAAAAGAATCCAACTCTTCTAGAAGATCATCAATTATCAAATCCAACATTCTGAAGGAAAGCTAACTTGGTATAGGAGCTGTGACAGAGATATACTTTCTCCTGCTCTCATCCCCATGATTCATGGAGGTGGAGAATCACAAGCATTTTTTTTTTCTTGAGATTTTCATATTAGATGGTTGATTACCGGAACCAGTCCTGAAAAATCCAGGCCAAGATATACAGGTAGTCCCCGAGGTATGAGCCTAAGAGAGCCTGCCCATTATGCTCGTAATGGTCAAATGAAGCAGACTCAATATTACATTTTAAAATCAAACTCATTAATTGAATCAAATAGGTCGTAAAATGAATGAAT